ACGGCCCAAGCCAAGAGGTTCCTACAGATTATAGCCTCCTTCATTACAGAGCCCTGGTTTATCCCTAGGGAAGGTCTGAAATTACACTAAAAGAAGCATGAGTCCTAGGGAAAAAAAATGTAAGTTATCTCAATGCATGAAAGAGCACTGACAAACTACTTACATTTAATAAAAGTTGACTGTAAGCTCTAATTTTCCTTTAAATATAATAGTTATATACATTCCAATAATCATGCTGAATACAGTTTCATTTACAGCATTACCTACTGCACAGCAGTTTAGAGTTTATTTTAGTTCTATACACTGTACCATATTCACTTAGATTTTTAAAAAGAGGTATCTTTTTAACAGCTTTAAATTTGCTGGGATGAAGGTGTCTTTTTAAAGCTACTGTGTTAAAACTGTATGACCACACAGACCAAAGAAACATCTGTTTTATAAGCTCTCTCAACACTGTAACAAAACCCAATTATCTTCAGCTGCATGATATAAAACAACTATTTCCAGAAATGCCTGCGCAGTCCCAATCATGTAACAATAGTTTTAGTACCACACAGAGCTTCAGTGCATTTATTTTCAGGTCTCAGCACAGCTGTAACACTAAGCAAGGCACAGCGAGGCAGCAGGTATGAACCTGATACCTCCTACACAAGTATTTTGTCTCTCCCACTTCTCTGCGGGCAACCCAAAGAGGGGACAAGAACAGCGGACATTCCACAACACTCACCTCTCTGGCAGCCAAGACTATGGTTGTTAATTGGGAACGATCACCCCATTCTGCTAAAAATGTTAAAGTAAAAGCTTGAACAAAGATTGGAGAAATAAAGTGTAGCCACTTCTTCTGAGGTATAGTGGTGCCTGGCCCTGATTCCACATCTCCTGGCCCATTTAACAGTTTAGTTCGCTGAAGCTGTGGAGGACAGGGGAAAAAAAAAAAAACCAACAAAACAAAACAACCAACCAATCATAAGATTAGAAATGTCATCTAAACAACCCAAATGAAATACTTAAACAGTAAAGCTAGCCATTAGTACCTGGAATGTTATTAGCCACTGACTGCTGCATTATCGATGTATTACTTGTATTAGATACCACTTTAAAAAACTAGCTACGTATACGCACACGTACGTGGGTGTGTATACATGTACACACATATATATACACACCTGTAATCACCTCGAACCTTCAGTTACTGTCTATCTTGTACTGCTTGCACTGACACAGCAGTTTCAGTAGGAACAACACCTGTTTTTTCACCATAAATCTCCTCTTGTTTTTAAAGTGGCGATCCTCCTCTTATTTTTAAAGCAGGGATCCCCCTCTTCCCAAGTGGTGGCTCTCAAATTAGGATTCAATAAAATTAATGAAAAAAAATTAACACAACTCAGCAATAGCCTGCCTGACCATAAAAAGAAATAAAATTTGAGGCAAGAACAAACCGTTGATGTCCTCTCTGCTGGTAATGCATTAAAAAAAACAAACAAACAAAAAAACCCCACACACTATGAAGAAAGTCCCTTTTCACCTGAGAGGCCAGGCTTGCCACAGGACTGGAATCACCTGTTGAAACAGCCTCCAGGGGCCACTTCTGTCCCATTTACCACACTTTTTCTGTGTCAGATTATCCAATCACAGGCAACAGCTGAACACCCCAAACACAGCAGTGACATTCTGCAGCTTCATGGCTGTAACTATTAAATCAGCCATAACTCATAGAAAGTTTATGACTTACTTCCTCGTCTTTTTTTTTAATTTCTGCTTGAACTTCCTCCAGCTCTTCCTGACCCTCATCTGGACTCATTTTCAAGCCTTCCCGAAGCATTCGGATGCCAAAAATTGCAAACAGTGCCGTTGACACATAGTACGTGTACACACGAGGAATGACTGTGGTGGCATAGCCAAACAAAACTGAAAAGAAAAGAAATGCGTCAATTAAAAAAAAAAATAAGCACGAGGGTCAAAACTGTTTTTCCCACATCTAAGAAATGCTTGCTAGCAAAGCCTGCAATTCAAATATCCACCAACAAAGAAATACGGCATCTTTTGTTAGTTTTATTTATTCCCCCCCCCCAAGATAATGACACTCTAGAAACTCCAACCATTACTAGTCATGCCAGAGACTGAAGTCCAGCAACAGGCAGACAAGTCACAGTGGATGTGCTGCTACTCCCAAGAGCCAGTCCAAGCAACGTTATCTTTCCCATCAAGGATTATGCAAGTCCTGCCTTTCTCCAAGCATGCCATGAAACCATCATCTGTAATCATGTTAGATGAGTCACAAGGTATACCAGTTAATTCCATTTTTATGTATGACTACATGTTGGACAGCATCTCCTTCCAATCACTTCATTTATCAGATAAAGTTAGAATAAGATTTTCTACAGTTAAATCTACTAGACATACCCACAAATCATCCAGCTGCGTGAATCCACGCTTGTCATCTCTTGCCAAGTGCAAATACCTGCACGTTACGACTCCCTTCTCTCCCACACTCCCCACAAACACACAATGTGACCAACTTTGATCTTTCTTTACTTTAAAAGCACTGATCCCACCCAAAGACCAAAACTCTACCTCCACAGTGCACCTACTTCTACAGGTATCAAAGGCGATCAAAGTATGCCAAAACTAGTTCTCAAATAAGAAGAATCAGGTATCTAGGACAAAGTACGTAATTCTTCACAAAGCAAGACCAGTTAGCACTTTTGGGCAAAAAGGCCTGTATAAATGAGAGGAAATTAAAACTCCACACCTAACATTCAAGGCTGCTTGGACCACGCCCTCACAAGCATGGTCCTCTGTTGATTTACTCCACACGCCATTAGCTAAAAAGAAGCACATTACCATGTGCGTGTCCTTGCACACACTTTCTTAGTTGAAAAAGGCACTGCTACATAATCTGGCAATCAATCCACACTGCCACTACTAAAAGTAAGTCTATGAGACCAAAATTAATCAGCCTGCACTTTAGTAAACATGGCACACACATACCAGAATAACATTATTAGTTGCACAGCTAGTTAAACTAAACTCCCTTTTAATGACTGAAAATACTAAAGCGAAGCAATGCAAGAAACTACACAAAAAGTATCTTTTTTTTTCCTACCCTTACTTGCATATACAAGCATAGACATAATGAAATAATCAGAATGGTAAGCTGGCTTATTTTGTCAAGCATAGCTTGAAAAAACACCCTGAGTAGTGATTACATGGAGCTAGTGAGTTTAAGTGAGCATGTTTTCATGAAATCAAGGTGGGCAAAAGCCCCAGGAATTTCCAACTTGTAGAAAACGGTGGGGAGGAGGGTGGATGGGGAAAAAAGGCTCCTGTCTGAAAAGTAAGAAATAGTTGGGAGCCTCTAAACTGGGAGATAAAGCAAAACCAGAAAGCTTTTCCAAAAAAGCATGAAGAAAGATTTGAAGAAAGACTTAGTACAGAAAAAGGGAGAGCTGTAACAGGCAGAAGAGAAGAGATCTTAAGATTTACAGAATAGTACATCAGCTATGGTAGGTACTGAATAACATTAGCCGAAGCAAGCAGTGAAGAAGTGGAAGAGTCCAAGAGTGTTAAGCAAGGAACAGAAGGAACTCATACAATGCTGTCATCACACACAGCACAAATGGAAACTGCTCTAAGACTGCAATAATAATTGCAGCAGTACATATAGTAATAGTTACACGCCTGAAAACCATTCCTAGAAACACTCGCTGAGAAGCCTGAAGGCAGTTAATCAGCTGTCCCCAGTGTATATAACCCAAGGAACATTATTTTCATCAGTTCCGAATCAGGCATGGTTAGAAATAAGCACACATACAACAAAAGATATGCTGCATCTGATACACCTGAAGGCAGCTCCATTTTACGATCACTGCTATGTAAGCACTCTCAGCTACACAGGTTCCTCAAGTGCCACCTGACACCTCACTTCCCCTCAGCTCTCAGCTCTATCAGTACCACCCATCCCAAAGGATCATGGCAGAACGTCATCTTCCACTTATGCAGCTCCCAGCACAAATCCAAACAGCTACACGTACAGGGATACAAGTCAGACGAGGGAAATTTGTCATCACATTAAGAATCGTTCGCCTTCAGAGGAAAAACACAAGTCACTCCCATGTTTGCCTTAGGCACACTAATTTAACAGGAGCTAAAAATTAAAAGGAAACCAGCGGCCCAAAAAATCAAAGAAAGTGCTTAGGCTCTCAATTCCACTCTTCTTCATTAAACTCACATTGAGGCCTAGGGAGCACAAACACCATCAGAGGTAAGAGCCTAAATATTCAACCTGAGCCATGGTCCCCAGGAAACCCTTCACACTCTGCTCAAAACAGAAAGCTGCATGTGCCTACTACCTTCATTTTAATTTCAATTAAGATTTATTGATAAATATGCACCCAGCACATTCTAAGAGATGAAACAAAAAGAAGAGTGCTCACCTGATAAACACGTCATCAGTCCCAAGGCAAGCATAGCACCAGCCAGTACAGTCAAACGGTTGTACCGCATTGCCATGATGGCTGCAATGAAGAAGGTCTTATCCCCCAGTTCTGATACAATGATGACTGATATAGCAGCCACAAATGCATGAATAAAGCCCAAATTAGTCTTGTCAGCTGATTCTTCATTGACAATGTGAACTGGAGCAACCGGCGAGGACCCCTTCTGTAAGAGGGGGAACAAAACACAAACAAAAAACCCACTAGTTAATGAGGCTGGAATAGTTAGTTTCCAGAAGTACTGAGCCTTCTATTTCTCCTGGCATACCATACGGTACAGTGTGACATTTTAAGTACACACCTCTTGCAGAGCACTAATGATCATTAACTAGTTACTGGCTGCCACCTACCTCAAATTGCTGGTCAGGCGCTCGGCAAGAAGATCAGATCGTGCATCCATTAAAGCAGTACTTCACCATGCACACTATTACCAGAACACGAGAACCACTATTGCAACAAAACACGGGGAAAGCTCGGCTTTAATATTGCTGTCTTTACAATCCCTGGCTATTTACTTCATGACCTTGACCAAACATTTTCTGATATAAATATTAAGAATTAAACTCTTCAAACTAAAATTGGGCGACCAGGATAGCTTAGGAGAAATACAACATCCTTTCAAAAATTGTCAGAATCACTTTCTTCCCTTGCAGAATCTTTGCATCTCAGCTGCATCAAAATTTTGCTCAAGTTTTCATCAGCTTTTTTCGTACATTGTCTGTTCCTACAAACCCTAGTTTTGTTGAAAAATAGCTTTAACATTTTCCAGTGGTCAAACCGGACCAGCACGCTCCAGATCTCACCCACCGAAGTGTTTGCTTTTGGAGAAGTTAAGAGATCTACAATCAAAAGCAAGACCCAAAACAAGGAAGTCGATGCTCACATGCCTGACCAGAAACGGCTAAGGAAGCTTGTTTCAGCACATCTACCAGCAGAGACAGATTGCAACGTGTTTTAACACGGTGACTTCCCAGCATTCCACATTCAGCGATGCCGTTAAGTTTTCTGGGTTTGATATTTAAAAGTTTCCACGCTCTATACGATACACAATGACTTCCCAGAGTTCCTTCACCTTTAGCATGCCCTAATTTTTTGGGTTTGATACTTAAAACTTGGCATGCTCTCCATGCTACATCAAGCTATACGTTAATCATTTTTTTCATCCCTCTGCGTGATCACTCGGCAGTAGAATCCCCTAAGCAAGGGCACCACTGAAAAAGTTCTAACGCAAAGAAATTAAATCAATATTCAGGAAAAACTGACAGGTTTTGAGTTGCAACAAAGCCTACTTTCATCTGCTTCTGTGAGGAAGACCTGGAGAGGTCTGTTACCCCCCTCAGCATGCAAGCAAGCGGGACACAAACATATTTATCTGGTGAGAAAAGCATTAACCCTTTTTTTTCATGTCAGATCTAAATTCCCCTCTTGTAGCAGAAAAAGGGAAAGCTGCAGGGCCCTTTTTCTGAAAAGGGAAAAAGCTTTCCCTTTTTCTGCTACAAGAGAGGAATTTAGGAGTCCGGCGGCCTCCGAAAGGCGAGGCGTCCTGCAGGCCGGCCCCGCCCCACCGGCTGAGAGCTGCCGCGGGGGGCGACCGGGCTGCTCCCGCCCCCCCGGCCCGGCTGAAGGCGGGTGCGTGGTGTGGGTGAGTGTGAGTGTGTGTGTGTGCAGGCAGCCGGTGCGGCCCACCCTC